GGGCTCGACCAAGGCCGAAAGACGCGCTTTTATGCCCGAGTATCAGAAGTATCTGGGGAAGATCAACGCTCTGCAGTGCAATGGATCGCGTCCGTTCACGATGCCCGTGAGTGCCTGCATGTACCTGTTCTCGAAGCGCCAGATCGCGCTGTTCGACTTCAACCGCGACCACCATTCCATCACGAACGATGAGTAGGTCGCGTGGTTCAAGTCAGCGTTTGAGGAAGACCCTCAAGACCTGGACGTTTTGAAGCAACGTCTGCAGCGAGCGATTCGCTTTGATACGAAGTTCTTGGACGCGGAGTCCCGCGTCGGTCGAATCCTAGACGAGCTGATGCGCTCGTTGGAACAAGACCATAAGCAGTGGGTACTCCATCAAGAAGGCAAGATGGTCGTCGAAGTCATGACGAAATCGATCAAGCCGGAGTCGCTGAAGACAGCGGTTCAAAAGCAGCTGCAGTTGCAGCGGAAAAGGCGTAGAAAGCGACGTCTTTCGTTACGTCAACTGGCTGCGAACAATTGCAGCTGGCCACCAGCTGTACGTGGGACTCGACGACGAGTCTAAACCTTCCCCGGCAGCGAAGCCGGTAGAAGCTCCACGAGGCGGCAAGCCTCATGTGCCAAGACGTGACAGCGGCCGGGAAGACGTCGCCAAGAACAATGGCAGAGTCGGCGGAAAGGCCGAAATGATCGTGCCCAAGAATGCCGAGCCCTCTGCCAAGAAGGGCTGCTTGAAGTGTGGTGACATGAGTAACCGTGTGGCGCGGTGCCCGATGACCGCGCCTGGCGAAGCCGAAACGTTGTTAGCAGCGTAAGTCAAGCGCCGGAAGGACGGCATCAAGGTGCTGGTCAACCAGCCGCAACGACAGAAGACAGAGCGCGGCGTGCTCTTGGACTCTGGTTCGGACGTGACCGTTGTCACGCGCGGCGTCATGGATGCGTTGGACGCGGCCGGTGTCAAAGTTGGGACCGTCTCCCATAGCGTGCCGCATTTGGCGTACCCGTATGGCAGTGACGCCAAGCCAGTTGTGATGACGCGCAGCGTCAAGTTCAACTGCGTGACGCTGGACACGACGTGTGGACCGCTTGTGTTGCGCGGTCTGAAGGCCTGGGTCGACGACGCGTCGACTGCGACCGAACTTATCGTGAGTCGCCCAGTCATGGAGTTACTAGGCTTCAGCGTTGAAGACCTCCTTGATGGAGCAAGGAAGAAGAAGGAAGAATGGGACGTTTCGTCCGTGCCGACGAATGAACTGTCCTGCAAAGCGAATGTCAAGCGCCTGATGGCGGAGAAGTTGAATCCACCGGAGCTTGATCCCTTATAACGGGATGGAGTGTGCTACTCCGGAGGTTTATCCCGAAACCTCCGTCGAGGACGAAGCGGACCGCCGCCGCACGAAGCAGGGTGCCGTTCAAGCAATTCTGGCGGCCAAGGCAGCCGAGGCGGAGACGCGCGGGCTTGCGCCCGCTGAAGTGACGCGGCTGCACGACTTATTGGCCAAACACATTGATGTGTTCCGTGAAGATTTGGGCGATGATCCATTAGTCAAGGTCGAGCCATTGAAGGTTCGGATCAAACCCGGCTCGACGCCGTTGAAGTGTGGGATGCGGTGGTACCCACCGCTGCATATGGAGTACTGGAATCGAATGCTATGGTGTACCAAAATAACCTGGCTACGTGGGCCGCAGTCCTAAGAAACGTGCCGAAGAAGGAAGTTGGCGACTTTCGCATGACGATCGACAGCAGGCCGATTAACGCCTGCACGGAACCGATGCCTTGGCCGATGCCAAACCTGGACAGCGCGATGGTCTGTCTGGTCGGAACGAACGTGTACTTTACGTTGGACTGAACCAAGGGGTACTGGCAGTTGCCGCTACATGCGGACAGCCAGATGTATTTCTCGTGCATGAGGTCCTTCGGCGTGTACACCCCGACCCGCGTGCTCATGGGACAGTCGGACTCTGTCGCGTACTGCCAGTCGGTTGTCCACCAAATGTTTGGTGAGCTACTGTTTCGAGGCCTGTTGGCCTGGCTCGATGACTTGCTGGGGTCCGCCAAGACGACGGACGAGCTGCTCGACTTGTTGGACCAAGTCCTGTCCATCTGTGCCCAGTTCGGACTCAAGTCGAGCCCGAATAAGTGTCATTTCTTTCTGCGCGAGGCAGATGGTGTGGCAAGGTGATTTCGGCCGATGGAATCACCCATTCACCAAGCCGAATTCAAGGACTTGTGGATTTGTCGCGGCCGACCTCCAGTTTGTGTGTGCCACCAACTGGATGCGTGCGAGCATCCCCGGCTACAACCAGCTGGTGGATCCGTTGTGACGTCTGCTCGACGTGGCCACCAAGGCAGCTGGAAGCTGCAAGAAAACGGCGTTAGTGCGTGTTGCACTCCCTGCCGTGGGATGGTCGTCCGATCATCTCAAGTGTTTCAACGAGGTGAAACACGCGTTGGCGCATGTGGTGCCCCTGTCGCACCCGCGAGAAGATATGACGGTCTGCGTCTTCACGGACGCCAGTGACCTGTTTTGGGGTGCGGTCGCCACACAAGTACCGCCAGCGGACCTGGATTTGCCTCACGAAGACCAGCGGCACCAGCCGCTTGCGTTCATCAGTGGGTCGTTTTCTGCCGCGAGTGCGCGCTGGCCCATCGTGGAGAAGGAGGCATATGCCGTGGTCCAGTCATGCAAGAGAATCGACTACCTGGTTGTGCGCTCTGGTGGTTTCCGTCTGTTTACGGATCACCGCAACCTGGTGTACATCTTCAACCCAAGTGGCTCGAACGCCAACATGACCAAATACCAGGCCGACAAGCTGCAGCAATGGTCGCTGGTGATGTCGACCTTCCTTTACACCATTGAGTGCGTCTCGGGGGACACGAATGTATGGGGCAACCTCCTGAGCCGATGGGGTTCGACTCCGACGGGTCAACCAGTTGCGAATGTTCGCAAGTTGATCCATGTTATGTCGCCCCTGCAACAAGTGGATTTCGAGTGGCCGATAGCCGCTACGATCAGCGACATCCAACGTTCAACCATGGAAGGGGGAGGGACTCCCCCAAACGGCGTGGATTGGGACGACGACTCCCATTTTTACGTGGACCCAGACGGACGAATCTGGATCCCAGACGGTGCTGTAGACCTACAGAAGCGGATTTGTGTGATCGCTCACCAAGGAGCCAGCGGCCACCGTCGCATTGCAGCGACGACCAAGTCTGTGTCCGACAAGTTTGTGTGGAAGACGCTTTCCACGGACGTCGAAGCGTTCGTGCGGGCCTGTTTGCACTGCCTGTGCATTGACGGAGAAATGGTTCCCCGTCCATTGGGTTCGGCGCTTCACGCAGAGAAGCCGAACGAGCTCATCCATTTCGACTGGTTGTCGATGACCATGGCCAAGTCTGGTCAAAAATAAGTGCTTGTCGTGAAGGACGTCATGAGTGGCTTTGTGCAGCTGTTCGCGGCAGAATCCGCTGACGCCGCCGCGACCTCTCAGTGCCTAATGACGTGGTTTTCCATGTGGCACATGGGTGTCAGATGGCGGTTCTCACTTCAGAACGAAGTGATCGAGAAGGTGCGGAAGTTGGTGGATGCCCACCATCATATCACGACAGCCTACAGTCCTTGGGCGAACGGGACTGTAGAGGTAGTCAACCGACTAGACCTGCGCAATGAAGCTGAACGCGGACGAATGGCCGCATGTGTTTCCCCTCGTTCAGGCGCCCTCAACCATCACGGGAAGAATTGCGCCTGTGACAGCGTTTACCGGTCTGCCAGCTGGCAGGATTTGTCCACCCGACGTCCAAGGAAGTTTACGTCGCGGACTGGCTTGGCGCCGCCCGTCAGAAACATGTGACGGACCTCCAAGTGGCGCTTGAAGAAATCCACCGCAACGTGGCGGTGCGAAGCGACAAGTTGCGTCAGCAAGCGTGTGGACGCCGCGACCGAAAATCCCAAGTCAAGTTTGCGGGGTTTTCGGTCGGCGATTTTGTGCTTGTCGGATCGGTCGTCAACCGTACGACAAAATTGGCCCTGCATTGGCGAGAACCCTGCCAAGTGACTAGAGTCATCACAGACCATGTGATGGAGACTCAGCAGCTGGGCCACCGTACGAAGTCACGGTCCACCATGTGTGCCGACTGAAGATGTACCACGAAGGTAGTAGAGAGGTGACCGAAGACCTCGAGGCATAGATCGCGTTTGGCGATGGCGGATTTGACGTGGAGCGCCTGGACGATTCTTCATCGTCGAGTCCAAGCCACTTCACCAAGTTCGCTGGCCAGCACCAAGTTTTAGTGAAGTTGCTTGGACTCGACGATGAAGAATCGTCCTGGGAACCTGCGTCGAATTTACTGGACGATATTCCAGTCGTATTTCGCAAGTGGGCGGCGGCCAACAAGGAAGACCCTGCCGTAGCCGCCCTCATCAAGACACTGGACTTTCCGTAAGAGGGGAAGTGTTTTGCAACGTGCAGAGCAATTGGGTCGCGCGTTAGTTTGACCCATTGCAAACAAATACACTCTGTGTGTGGGCCATGTCAAAAGTTTCGATACCTTAGTGGATGTACTGAGTACTTTAGTGAATGGTAGTCAGTAGGCGCCTCGTGGCGTGTTTAACCTCACTAATTTCGGTGTTGTATTTGCTACTTTGACGAAGGTGCCGTGGCCGAAAGCTGAGAAGAAGCCAGAGACAAAACAGTCCGGGAGTAACGGGTTCAACACAGATTGGTCCAAGGGACACAGTGGGATGATAACCAGGTAGTAAGGGACACGACAGTTACCCAGAAAGCACCGTTGGAAAGTCGCTTTCTTTTACCCCGTGAAATTCTCCCCCGATATAGTCCGAAGCTCCCGCAAAGACCAAATAGCGCCCAGAATCCGGGACAAGGAGAAAGGACAGTTAGCACCGCGGCCCAGAGGACATCCCATAGTCTGAGAAGGCGTACGCGGCGAGGTAACTGCATTCTACAATACGCCCCGGAGGCCGCAGCACAGTTCTGCGGGAATGACACCGCCACCAACGGTCCGGTTGTCAGGACCCGCAGCCACTTCCGAGGTTCAGGTCAACGACGCCACCACCGCCTCTTCCGTCGTAGATCTCACAACACTCGCTGAGCCAGCGGCCCATCATGCGGCGGATGCCCACCGCCGTACTCTTACTTGCGTATGCACACCGTGCTGTCCCATGGCATCGTAGACTTGTGTAACAGCATCCAGCGAAAGGAGCGATCGTGAGCCAGTTGGCGGCCCAAACCGAGAAGGTCTCCGTGCTGGAGAGGCAGGTGAAGGAGACCGGGCAGACAATGGAAGTCATGATCGTCGAGGTCAACTACGCCGGAACTACACGGTGCATTCGGCCAAGTTGGTCGCCGGGAGGATAGGTGTCGTCATGTTGGCGCTACAAAACAAGTCGCTGGTGGTTGCTGAGACGTCAGACCTTCCCCGCAACCTCACGGCTGAGAAAAAGGCATCCGAGAGTGCGTCTCAGGATCGGGACCGCTCTCGCCGCCCAAGAAGAGCTCCAGGAACAACTCAGAGTGATTCAATCCCGCATCGCGCAACTGGAATGAACGTGGTAATATATCTTCAATTCACTATAACACAGCGAGTTCAAAGAATTTTTTTTTACCATTCAGAAATCTTGTAAAGGGGGTTAGAATGGATTTTGATTGGCTAGTTCATTCTCAAATCGATTTGCCAAGTCAATTCAATTCTAATGGCGACTCCAATTACAAACCGACTTGACAATATCTCTGTTACGTAGCAAGTATTATGGAATAAAGAGGTCATTAGGAGTAGCTATTGGAAGAGCAGATAGTCGGTGATGATGAAGATCCATTCTCAAGTGAGCCATCGCTGCATTGAATATGGCTGGCAGACGGATATGTCGAATTGGGCGGCAACGGCCAAATGTGCGCACCCAGATCATCATAAACGATCTTATACGACAGCTGTAGGTAGCATTGGGCTACTTTGTAGAGCGGTTGTTGAACAGCCAGTCCCGTTGGTTCAGCTTGATCCACGTAATCATTTGTGTGGTGGTTAAAGCACGTTAGTTATCACGTACATGATTTATGAACTCAATTTAAGCACGTGGATCGGGGAATTCCTCGTAGCGGCCGCCAGGCACAAGCTTGTTGCACTTCTTGTTGCCGTGGTACGCTAGCAACTCGAAACGCTGATGCTGCCAGCTGCGAATAGTACGTAGAGCGATCCCCATGACTCGCGATATCTCGCCACACGACATTGTCTCGAAAAGACCAATGGCATGGAGCTTCGTTGATATGGGATATTGCTTACGTCGACTCATGTTCGGATATGTGTGGTGATTTTGTGGACTTGCAAGTCCAGAGCAGAATTAAATTATTTGAAAAGCACGTCGGCGCGCTTTATAAAAATTCCGCCAATGAATGCGAGCCATTTTGAATAATCAATTTAATTGGAGATATATTTATGTGACATGCAGTTTTCTTTGGTGGGCGTTGCTTTCCCTCTTTCCCAGTTCTGTATGATATTCCATCGTCGCATAATTGTAGTCATATCATGCCGCCTGCATGGCCAAGGACGATCGTCAATAGTGTTTCGTGATGAACATGGATTTGTGATTGAATTATCCAATCATTATACAGGAGTGTTTTCATTGGTTAAATCATCCCTACGAATTCCATAAATAAGTCATTGTATCTCAATTAACACCCTTTTACCAAGATAAACCCTAAAACGATGCTATGTGCGTAATCATTTCCCGTAATGTTCCGTTAAAACGGGCCATGCCATTAACTTACCAAAAGACTTGTACCTGGGACGAAGTCACTTCTTTACTAGCTAGTACTACTACCGGTATTAATAATGTTATATTATTACTAGTAATACGTAGTATTAATAGTCATACACACTGTAACACCCGTTAAAATGATCCAAGAGATCATCTCACTTGACATCTTTGACAGGGATATTGGCACCTATACGTATACAGTACATTCTGCCCACTCATGTTCGGGCAAAATTACTATACATTCTGCCAACTCAGTACTATTAATAGTATGGTGCACGTCATCTAAAAACTTCAACTGACCAAATCGAAGAGTGGAGGTTTTATTATTTAACGTACAAGGTACAATTAATGTAGTCAAATACGTTAAATACTGATTTCATGCGTTTTATCATTGCACTGGGAGGTTAAAGGTCCCAACTGCCCCCGGATATTATATACGGATAAGAAGCACATACAAAAATCAAGATACATCGCAGCGAATATGCTGGCCAAATATCCAAGCGCCCATGTAAAATACCGCTAGGTTAAATATCTATTTCTGGACCAATTTATCACCAAATTTGAACCTGAGACGTAGAATCGACAGATCTCAATGTGGTGAAGAAATTCTACGTCTCAATTTGCTGAAATTTTGAGTAATGAATATGAAATAGAAGTCAGAAAATTTTGTGAAAGATGGTAGTTTATAGATGACGTGCACCATATACATTCTGCCAACTCAGGTGATACACATGTACTAACAGTGGTCGAGAGCATCCACGACCCCTTTTGACATGATTTGTTACCAATTGTGAAAAAAAGGACGAAATTTGATAGGGTTGTGTAGATTTTGATCAGGAATCCGAATATACCTCTCTTAACGTATGAATCGCATTATTTGTTGAGATATTCCTCGAAAACTCTTCATTTTGACCTCAAAAGCATTGTGGCATTCTATAAACTGTATGAAATTATGTTTGTATGCCTCATCTGGTTTGTCGAGGTTTACAGTGAGTCAAACCTTCATGTTTCGATGGTGATACAGTACTCTGTCACGGCACCAACTGTTTTGCAAATGTGCACATCCCCTTCATATATCAGCTGGTACCCACAAAAAGTTAAAATATATATTTGAATTATATTAATTGATACAAATTCCAAGGCAACATAAAAAAATACGGATTGGGTCGATGGTCTCAAGCCATAGGATCTCTAATACCCCCCCCAATATCTCCCTTAGAACAGACGGCAAGCAGCCGCGCAATGCTCACTGACAAGATTCCGGTATGCCCGTATGATATGAGTGCAAACTAAGGGTACCAGTCATTGCAATTGCCCACAGCTTCGATTCTTGCCAGTCGCCATCATTTTTCCTTCGTGATATAATTTCCTATTGGACATAATCTAAACTTTTATCCAATCAAAATTCTTAAAATAATTGCTTCAATTTTATGCGCGATGTAGACACAACATATGTGGAATCGGTACCTGTAATATCGACAACGCGTGTCCAAGCATTCCTATTTGT